TTTGTAGTTATAAAATAATTAGTAAAACAGCTTACATTTGTATTTATTTTGTAATCCATACTTCCATACCCTGTTTTTTTTTTCTCCCTTAGGCCATTCCTTTAAAATAAATCTGTTGGAGATGTGAAAAAAAAATTACAGTGCCTTTTTCAGCTTGTCTCAGCTGTCCCATTTAAGTGCTGAGAATCTGAAACCCAAGACAATGTCCTGTGACAGGCGCCAAATGTTTCCCAGCGGTAATTAGCGCCTCCCACCCCACCCATTAACCTATGTCTAGCAGCCCATGGAGCCTTCCTAACTGAGGCTCTGTGGGAGGAGATGTGTGACCCAGACTCCAGGGCCTGATCTGCCTGTCAGGCTCACACTGAGCAGATCTGGCACTGTCTTCTGTTCAGTGTGGGCCCATGCTGATGTCACCTGCAACACAAAACTGCCATTGGTTTCACACCCTTTCACATGGTCTGATGTGTGAAAATTAACTCCTTCCTTTACCATGACTATTACCATCCCTGGTGCTCACTCATATCACAGCCCAGAGAAAGGAAGGGTCACTAGGCTTCTTAAAGACAGCACAGTCTAAGGTATTGGCTGTCTGGATGATGTAAAAACTCGGCAATAGCTGCCTTCCGAGGAGGGGGCCAATACAGAGCCTTTTGGGAAACCAGCACAGGAAGTAGCACAGGAGACAAGCGCCCCCACTCACCCCATAGCTCGGTCAAGACAGCATCAGGGAACACAACCACAGTGCCAGACACAATGACTACTGGAACAAAGGGGCACAACTAGAGTGGCAGACATAAGTGATCATGGGACAAAGGAGGCATGACTTGCTTGAGAAAACTTTGTTTCAGGAGAAACCTTTTACCTGACATTTCATCTTCTGGCACTATTCAGTGAAGGAATGGTATTTAAAACAATTCCTTAGAAAACACAGTCATACAGCTTTGAACTGAGTTGACTTTAGGGTTTCTTCTCCATAAGAAGCATCTCCAAAAGCAAGACTCTTTTGGAGTCTTAGGTAAAACAGCAGTGAACAGCAGTAAAGGCACTGAGCCAGCCCCATTGCCTATGAACCTGATATATCTAAGTGTAACTGCTATCTATTCTTACCTAAAAACTTACCACTAAAATTATCCAAGACCAGAGCATTTCTAATTAAGTCTTAAAGAATAATACATGCTAGATCAATTTATTGATTGGTTGATTGATTGATTGATGCTGTATAAATGCCAAGGAATACATATCTAGATTCTTAGTCATGTTAAGCATCTCCCAATAAGCAATAACCCATATCCTTAATTATTTTTCTTAGACAACTATCTATAAACTGTGGCCCTTGGTTATGCAATAATCACTTATTAGAAAATTATTCATTGCCAACGACCAGATATTCATTGCCAAACATGCTCTCAGACAGCTTCCAGACACACGTGAAAGAGAGACAGAGGCTGGAAAGCTGGCTCAGCAGTAAATTTCTCACTACACAAGCATGGGGACCTGAGTTTGATTCTTGGAACCCAAGAAAAAAAAAAGTCAGGCATAGTGACGCACATCTGCAATCATAAGCAAGGGAGGTAGGGACGGGGGGGTCTTCTAGGGCTTCCTTGCCTCTCTAGCCAAATCAGGAGTCTTCATTGAGAGACTCTGTCTCAAAAAGTAAGGTGTAGTGTAATTGAGGAAGACACCTGATCTTGACCTCTAGCGCCCACAGGCACACACACACACACACACACACACACACACAATCACTCATATACTCACACACATATACACTCACACACTCGCACACAGAGGCAGCAGAGAGGCAAGAGATGGATAGGAACAGAGAGTACAATAGATCAAGGATAATAAGGTCTTCGGGTAAATGTTCAAACAGGGCAACAGAAGCATGGAGGATGGAGGAGAGTTCACCAGAAGCATGTGGTCAAGGAAGACAGCCTGTGAGTCGATTGCATCAAATGCTTAAAAAAGAAAGACCCAGGCCTAAAAGGCTGTGACACAACAAAATAGGCATGGCTGATCTAGTAAGTATCGACCCAGAGTGACAGATAGCCACCCTGAGTGACAAAGCCATGTCACATGGGGCCTTGTAAATCGTGTTTTAAATTGTCAGGTCTATAGGAAGTCCAGTGGGTAGCCATCAAGTCAATGTAAGCTAATAAGTGACACCATGGGAACTGCATTTAAGAAAATGCACTCTGTCTCTCTCATTGTCTGGTGTGAGTCTGCAGTCACCGATACCACAGCAAAAGAAGCTCCCTAGTCCTTTACAGCCAGCGACAGCAGCATGGATCATGGACTTCCCATGGTTTCTGGTGACAGCATGGACCGCAGACACCCACATGGCCTCTGGTATCAGCATAGTCCATGGACCTCAGCATGGTCTCTGGTGCCAATACAAACCAAAGACATCAATGCAGCCCTGGCTACAGCAAGAACCATGGACACCACCATGGCCCTTGACAGCAGTACAAGCCTCTGGCATTAACATGGACTCGGGTGATAACACAGGCCACCACCACCACCACTCCTATCTCTCCCACACACACCCCAAACAGGGAAAAACAGTTTAGGCAGGAAGCCATCAAAGAGAACTCTTTAAAAACTGTGATGGGTGTGAAGTGTAGCTCTGTATTGTTGAGGGCTTGGGGGTGTAGGGATGGGGAAGAACTCAGTTTTAATTAAGGGGCTGGCTGGCCACTGAGAGTTTGACCATGCTCCGGTGAGTATGTGGGCAACGTACATTGGACCCGGTATTTTATTTATTTATTTTTCTTTCTTCCTGCTTCTCTCTGGGGGAGGTCACAAGGAGGGGAGAGAACCTGGGAAGACTAGGAAATGAATGTGCTCCGGGGTGCTTTATGCGAAACCCCCAAACAACCAATAAAAAGATTGTGTTGGGGAAGAAAAGAAAACCCACCCTAGCACTTAGGTGGCTGGTGGACTGGGAGAAAGAGGTGCCCAGAGGAAAGCCCGAAGAGAAAAGGGAAGGACAGGTGTCCGCTCTGCAGAAGGCGGGACACCGAGAGGAAGTCTTAGAACTTGGTGAGTTAATTATTTCATGCTCTAACCCCAGCTTCAACCTTAAAAACTCCACTCTTTCCTTTAGAAGAGAAAAAAAAAAGAAAGAATGCTGTCAGGTTACAAACAATTCAGCTTAGCTGAAACGAGTAATCCTACACATATCAAAATTTCAAATACTTCAACCTAGTTTTAAGTTGTGGGCACTATCTATTATACACGTGTGGCCAGGAGCACCTATCGCTTTAGGTTTTTTTTTTTTTTCCTCCTTTGCACGCCTGCCCCAGGCAGAGCGTTCAACTCGTGAAGCTCAGCAAACATTAGTTTAGGGGAAATGAAGTGTAACCCAGGATGTGATTAGGTCAAGTGTATCAGATAAACCTTGTGCTACAAAAGTAGGTCTCCTCGGCCACATCTGACTTAGGGGACGGATGGCAGCAGGAAATGGAACTAATTTTCTGAATGGAAAAATAAAGGAGGGAAAAGCCAAAGAGCTGCTGGGAGAGATGCTGCAGAGCAATTCGGATAGAACCGCCCAGCGCTGACAGCAGTGAGCGAAATTAGAGGAAAATAGAGCCGCAGTGGGAGCTGGGCCCAGGGAGGCTGCAGTGCAGGGTGGCTCGGGGAATGAGAAAGTCCATAAATAGCCAGTCTCCACCCGAGAGCAGAAGTCATCGGCGCCCAGGGCCAAGGAAAGTGGGTCACATGCCACGGTGATGATGGCTCCAGGTCAAAGGTCACACAGATGACCCCGTAGACTTCCGGCAATCCCATCAGCCTTTTTCTGCTAATCCCTGGGAATTACGTCCTAAAGACGTGAACATCAATTTGTCTGTCTTAGTTAGGGTTTCTCTAGCTTGGTAGAGACACCATGACCATGGCAACTTTTATAAAGGAAGATATTTAAGATTACAGTTTCAGAGGTTTAGTCCATGCTCATCACGGCAGGAAGCATGGAATCATGGTGCTGGAGAGGGAGCTGAGAGTCCTACATTTGGGTTGGCAGGCAGCAGGAAGAGCGAGAGAACCACTGGGCCTGGCTTGAGATTCTGAAACCTCTGAGTCCATCCCTAGTGACGCACTTCCTGCAAGGCCACACCAATACAACAAGACCTTAATCCTTTTAAACAGCACCACTCCCTGTGAACCTATGGGGGCCATTGTCATTCAAAGTGCCACATTATCTGAAGTCAACTAAGTCTCTAGTTCTTACCTAACACAGACCCCAGCAGGTAATAGATTCTGAGTGTTTATTAAATGGATTTTTTAAATTTTTTTTTAGTTAGAATACACAATTAAGTTTCATTATGGCACTTTCACCCAAAATGTTCCTTGCTGCCATTTCTGTCTACTGGGTTCTCCCTATCCCCTCTCCCACTCACCTCCTATCTTCCTTTATACATTCGTGTCCAGTGTCTTACCACCCTCCCCCTCTTCAACACCCTTTCCCTTTCATTTCATTTCTAGTCTCAGGGCCTATATCCACATTTACACCCACAAATACATACAAACCTCATAAGCAGATTCATATATGAGAAAGAACATGCGATTTCTTTTTTCTAGACTTTCACGAATATTTCAGTATTAGATGCACTCATGTTACCTTAGCTTTCCATTCCTATACACACACACAAAATTAATTTCTCCCAGTTGGAAAATTATAAACTTTCAGTGGAAAAACTGAAGTAATGCAAGGATAATGTTCAAGGCCCTGGTAACAATTTTTTTTTGCTTTTCTTTTGTTCTTTTCCCCATTTCTCTGTCCATATAACACTTATAAATATGCCTATTAGCACAGATATTTTTACAATTTTCTTGAACTTTGAGGGCTGGATGGATGGCTCAGCACCTAAAGGCAGTTGCCACCAAGAATAATCACCAATTTCCAGGACCCACATGGTCAAAGGAATGTACTTACTCATCAAACTGGAAATATCTAAAGCCTGGGTATTCCAAGGGGAATGCATACAGGTACTCACATTGCCTTCAGTAGCCATAATCGAAGTCAGGCTGCCAGAAACAAACGCTGGAAAAGGAAAATAGCTTCAGTTAAGTGTAGGTTTATGCTGCTCATGAAAACACATCCCTCCTTATGTAGAGGGAAAGGGTATTGACACTGTGATGGAAAAACCTCACAGTAAGGATAGTTCCTCAACTTCAGTAAACCAATGTCCTAAAATTCAATTCATAAAACAAACCAGTTTTATCTAAGCATTGTCGGCATTTTCAAGATATCGAACATGGCACATATGACTTGCACACCTTGTTGCCTATGGGGGTTTGGGGATTTTTGAGGTAGGAAAGTGAAGAGCAATATGGACATGTGGGCAACATAGAATTATTTGACCACTGCTACCATCAAATCTCATAAATGCAAATAAATGCAACTGGCCCTCTCAGAAAGTCCCAGCTACAATACCAAGAGAGGCCTTTTTTTTTTTTTTTTTTTTTGGATGTGCCTGCTTTGTAGTGGATTACCTGACAAACAAGACACCCTGTGGCTTCAAGAAACATAAATGAAAAGAAAAGAGGACCCGACCTCTGAAGACCCAAAGGCCACTGAAACCGCCTGAAAGCAGATAGGTCTCTCTTAGCCTGCCCAGTGACACTGACTCAGATCCATTCCCACTGACTTGATGTCTTACCACACAGGTCCCCCAAATTTGAAGACTGACACCACTTTTGTAAGGTAAATATGCCATTATACCTTGTTGTTTGTTTGTTAATAGATAGATCTTTATTAGAAACTCTGATCTACCAAGTTAGCATTTTCCACCAACTCGGTGGTAGAGAGCCACCCAAACATAAATATTTTGAGAGAAAATAAGTCTGAATATATTCCCAAAAAAAGAATATGCCTACTGTGATTATCCATGGGAACTTGAATAGCCAATCATTTATTTTTATCACCTTCATTTACTTTCTATAATAAGCTTTTATGTATAAAATAACAATGTTGAGGGAGACTCATATGAATATTTTATTGACTAAGGCGATGTGTTTTTAGCATCCATTGATTGAGAAAATGGATCATAAGCTAAAGATAGCTTGAAGTCAGCAACACTTTTAGGTAAAGAGGAAAAACCGTAGATGTTAAGAGTGAATATTTTGGACTAGGCTAAAATAGAAGGAAATGTAGTCTAGCACCTTGCTGACTATATGAGATCTCGGGTAAGTAGTTGGTTTGAGGTCTCAGAACACCCACCTGTGAGGTGGAGTTACATAATTCATATTTCTTTTTGGGGACTGAATGAAAATTAAATGATGACAGGTCTTCATAAGGCTGAAGGAATGACCCAACACATAATAAAATCTCGTAATAATATATAATAATATATTCATCACTTAAGGAAGAATGTATTAGTGGTCAACTGTGTAAACAGTATAATAATATACAATACAACCCTTTGAAAGCTGTCCTTATTTATCTTGAAAGCTAATTGGTCTCTTTCTTATCATAATACAGCAGCCTACTTTCTCATGTTTCTTAAATATGTGCTATGTACCAAACTCACTGGAAATTTTTCTGTACCAGATCATATAATTATCAGAGTTTCTTATTTTAAAAATACTATTATTACTCCCTTCTTAGATGAGGAAAGTCCAGCGACTAATGAGGAAAGTTGAGTCTTAATTTTAATCTAGACTTCCTATTCATTCAAAGTCAGTCTCCCCACTTGCTTCCTTCCCTTTCCCCCTCCCCTAATACACAGGATTTTGCTAAGTTACTAGGTTGTCCTAAAACTCGCTCTATATTCCATGCTAGCCTTGATCCTCCTGCTTCAGCCTCCTGAGTACCTGGGATTACAAAATTGCATCACTAAGTCCTGCCACAAGTTCTATCCCAGCCACTCCAAATTCCCCACAGGGCATTGTTCATGATGACTACAGAGTTAGAGCATCATTCTGTGGGTATTCCTGCATTCTGCATTGATAAAGAGCCTAGTACATGCATTGGCCAAGACCCAGTCTTCTTTGGACGCCGCTGACCAGCCTGGTGCAGGGCCCAGTCTAGGGGACAGTGTTCCAAGGTTTTGTTGAGCTGACAAGTCACACCCTCAGAAGACTTCATTCCACTACAATTCTGAGTTTGTTCTTCAACCAGATTTCTAGAAACAAAACAAGCCTGGAAACAATGGAAGGGCATGGAAGACAAGGATGATATCTCCCTCATCCTGCTTCCCTCTCAATACTGGCTTTTATGGGAGACACAGCATTAGAACTGCCTTAGACAATAGAGAATATATTGCTTCTGCATATTTCAACTCCTTCCAACCCACCTCTCTGAGGGTATGCCCCTACCTGAGCATCATTTCCCCACCCTTCCCAACACACTGACTCTTTCTCCTTGATACAGAAAAAACATTCTAGCAGAGAGCTGGTCTGAAGACTTAAGAAAAGAGACCATGTGACCAGTCATTGATTTTCTTAAGTCTCTACAGTGGTCTTGTGATAAACACCAAAATTCTGAAAATCTTTTACAAGGGAGATGAACACTCTTTGCTCAGGACTCTTATCTGCCATTTTCTGGGATGGTTTTCATGTCTCTCTTCCTCCATCTCTCTGAATCACTTGCCTTTTCAAAATAAACTTCCTTAAACATATTTGTCCTAATCACAGGACTTCTGTGCACACTTGCTTTTACAAGGTGGTTTATACCATCTACTTTTTCCTCCCTCTCACCAAATAACTCTCAGCCAATTCTCGAGAAAGGTCAATCCCTTTAGAATCTAAGTACAGATGTTATCCAGGAATCTGTGCTTTAATTCATGAGGGTTTTTTATCGTTGTTAGTAATTAATTCTGCGGTTGTTTCTTTAAGACACCCCATCACGATGAGTACCTATGTCAAGTCTCATTCACATATCTATTGATACATCCCCAATCCTTATCCTCTGTGTGTTTCATTAAATATTTGTTGAACAAATGAGTCAAATATACCAACAATAGTATCACTTAATTATGAGTTTTTCATTCTTTGATTCATGGACCACTGTCATCATGAATGATGGGTTAGAAATTTGTTTTCCATCTTCAGGACCTGGGCATGAAACAATACTCCTGCCACTATGTCTCTGGTTGAAGACTGAATGGTAGAAACAAGAGTCATTGGCATGGGTAGAGTGGGCAACAAGGTCAGTGGGGATGAATATTCCCTTTGTTAAGCTCTCCATCTGTGAGAATTTGGTTAATGTCCCCAGAGCTCAAGAGCTCTGCTTCTTTAAGAACACGGGCTAAACCTAAATGGTAGGGGGCTGGGGAGACGGCTCAGCAATGAAGAGCAACCATCCTTGCAGAGGACTCGTTTTCAGTTCCCAGCACTGGCATGGTGACTCACAACTGTCTGTGACCCAGTTCTGGGGGACCCATTGCCCTCTTCCGGTCTGCATGGGCACCAGGCACACACATGGCACAGGTAAACACTCATACACACAAAATGAAAATAAGTACAGCCTTTAAAACCTAAAATATCACAAAATTGACTCAAAGTTAATTTGGAGAACAGTGAAAATAAGCTAAACTCAACTCATGTTTCTCTTCCGTGAAAAACATTCAGGCTTAATTAGGAAGAAATGGTAAGACTGGAGTCGGTGGTTTCCTAATTGACAGTAAGAAAAAGCTTCCCAGCCACACTAGAGAGAGCATGGGCAGAGGTATGCTGGTGATATGACCATGTAGTTCCAAGGTTTTGGTGGGAATATTACTGTCCACACAATGGTTTATGAAAAAGAATGATAGCAAAACTATGTGGAAAATGATTATTAATTACTATTCCCCCATCCATCTGAAATATCAAGTTAGGCAAGGTGCTAAGGAAGATACGCAATTCATTTGGTATGCCTTGATAAATAATTTTTACATTATCAGATATTTTTAGAATGATTAAGGGCCCAATGAAAATGTCATAAGACACTTCTGTGTGTTTATTACTATTATTATATTTGTTATTATTATTATTTTCAAGTACAGAGAGATGCCTCTCAGGGATTAAAAGCACGTTCTACTCTCTCAGATTCTTTCCTCTGACTTCAGTTCCAAGCAGCCATGTCGGTCAGTTCACAACCATCTCTCACTCCAGTTCCAAGGGACCTGACACTTTTTGCTGGCCCCTGCAGAACCCTGGCCTCCTGTGCGTACACCCCCACACAAACACATCATTTTAGAAGAATAAATATTTTTAATTATTTTCTTTCAACAAAAATCAAAGGAACATCTACTTGAGCTATCTGCTGACCGTTAAAAGTAATCGTGACTGATCATCGTATGAGATTCGGTCCATGGCTGGTAACATTTCAAAAGTGATGAATAGGACATAAAAAAGAAGGCTTAAAGAACATGAGTGCTCAAGGAAGGGGGAGAATGCTGTAGAGAGCTGCCATGACAGGGCTGAGCTCCCTTAGCTACGATTCCCAGCACAAGACAGACACAAGATCGGTTGTCAACACACCAGCGTGGAAAGGGGAGGGGCTCCCAAGGCCAAGCTCCTCCTTGAGGTTTTATAGCCATTTACCAATTTCTAGGGAGAAGTTCCACCCACATCCATGAGGAGCTATAGGCAGGTAATGGCTGCTGGGAGATTTTCTCAGTGGTGTAGACACTGGCAGGTTGCCTATCCTCCTGTAACTAATTCTCCTCTATGTACCTGGACAGAGCCCTAATTAAACTCACTGGTTTACCAGTTTCAAACAACAACAGCAATAAAAAAGAAACAAGTCAAACAAGTCGAAGCAGAGCCAGCCAAGAAGAAGAGTTGCAGTCAGGGTGGGAAGGAGACAGAGAGGGGAATGGGGTGAATGTGATCAACCACACACATGTATGAAAATGTCACAATAGAATTGATTATTATAGGAATTAGTATATGGTAGTGCAATCTTTTAACGTGCCCAATGCATTTTATTCATGTGAAATCCTTTTTAAATTTTCACATCTATAAAGACCGACAGTAGGATTATGATTAGTTTTGAAGTCTTTTATCCTAGCAATAAGCAACATTCATTCATGGTTGTGCTCTGCAGTTAGAGAGGAA